GACACGTTCTCAGTGCTCTCACTGCCCCGTGCCTAAGCCACCCCGGCTTTAGTGCCATTCACTCTGTGCTGTGTCATCCATCCCATACCCGTTCCCTGAGGGAGGGGCTGTTTCTGAATCACCTCTTCATGCCCAGCACCTGGCACACAGTAGGTACTCAAAAGATAATCACTGCCATGGTGGAATGAATGCCACAGACCTTCTGAAGAATCTTTAAAGTACAATTCCTTGGTTCCACAATCCTACTTTGAGGACCACCATCGAATACCTAAAACCCCCACAAGCCACCTTTGTTTGCACAGAGATATTTATACCTACGCTACCTACCATATTGAGAATCTGGAAGCAAACCAAAGAGGGAGATGAAGTAAGTAAACTATGGTGCCTAGACATTGTGCAACAGTCTACTGCCATTGTGCCAACAGTAATGGCAGCCAGACAAGCTATGTACCTGTGTGGAAAAGTTCCCGGCTAGCTTAAAAGACAGAACACCAGCCAGTACGTGGATGATAGAAAATACAGTTTAGCAGTTTCAAAACAAAGGCCTTGGGATCACACAGCTTTGCTTTGAATCCTGGTTCCGCCACTACCTGTAGGAGTGACCTTGAGAAAATTGTGCTGCCTCTCTATACCTGTTTGATTGTGTGTGGACTGGAGGTCACATCTACCTCTGAGGGCTGCTGAGTGGGTCAGAGAGATGCGGACAGCAGCTGCTATCTTGACTGTGGCAACCATGGCCATCCAAAATCTTATAAAAGACAGGAAGAGGAAGGGAATTCTGTGAAGATGTGATCTTTTCTATGAAGGGGATTGGACTGTGGTTTCCATTGCTCACAACTCCTGTTAGTTCTTTTCATTGCAGAGATGATCAAATATTCAATTTCTTTGAAAGATAAAGAAAAAAAAAAGCACCCAGAGAATAAATGATCCAGTCTACCTAGATATAGATATGCAAATTGCATGCAAACACACATCATTCTCTTTTCTATATACCTGGATGTGGCCTTTGGGATTATCCTAGTGAGAAACCAGATTCCTTCTAAAGGAAAAGAGAAACTTAAGCAATTTCAGAAAAATTAAACACATAAAACTTTTTTCTACTTTATGGGAAAAAAATTACGACATTTTCTGTTAGCATATTCCATCCCAGGAG